CTCAAATTTTTCATCAGCCAATGAAAAATAAATCACTTGATAACTAATATATGAGATATTATTGGAATCAATTATTGCAATCAACAATTAATCATAATTACACGAAAGTTGCAAACCTTTCCACTGATGCCGAGATGGAACATCAAAGCAAATTCCATAATTGACATTCAAATAATGCTTAAGCACATTCAAATAATACTTAAGCTTCATGAGTTCCGCACGCATAATGACGGAGTCCTCCCAAATTGAGCATGCTCGTTCTACTCACGAAGAGCTTGCTTTAGTTTTTCAATAGTAATGTATCAGTTGTCATCGCTGCCGCTCTCCCAAATTGAGCATTCATCCAAGACACAGCTCCTTTGCATCGTTACCGATGATTAGTTTGGCTGGTCTTATCTTGATGATCAATGGAGCCGGTTTCTCCATCTGACAAGCGTGTTGCCAATTTAAGCTTGTCGCTGTTTCAAAGTTATTCATTAGAAATGTCCCCTTCTGAAACAGAAGCTCCTGTGGTTGTCACCATTCCTTCTGTGTGTGAGCTTCATTCTAGCTTTCATCAAATTGGATGTAAACTCTGAAGTAATAATGAGAAATATAGTGGCTCATGAAGCCTTGACTGAACCAGATTTCCTTATATTCACAAGGTACACAGAGTTGATGCGTGCAATGATAGACACTGTGGAGGATGTTAAGCTGTTGAAGGATGCAGCCATCATAGAGTCAACACGTTCTCTTCGAATTTCCGGGATCTGCCTTGTCCGCATCTAGATGGCGTGTGGCAATGTGATTCATCAGAATGTCTCAAGGAGGCACCGGTGAAGCAGTTCGGGTTTCCCATGGTGTTGCAGGAAAATCGCCACCTAGTTTGTGTTACAGTACAGAGACCAAGAAGGATCAAAGGAGCACCCAGTTGGGCTATGGACTATTCGGCCCATATGTAGGAAGCTGTAATATTCATTGTAGACTAGTTGGTTGTATATTAGTCAAATACATATGGTTGTAGAGTAATATAGCTTCTGTTAGTAAGTGGTTATTCTGTTGAATAACTAGACCCAACGCTTATATTGAAAACTCATTTGTATAGTTTCATATTCATTCAGAAATTAATTGAGAAATACAACATTCTTTCCTTTTCTTCTCTCGATAAGAACTGGGTTCTTATCATTTGGTGCTTTCATCACCATGCGCATCCAAGAACTTGCCGAAGAATTTTCTTCTCTTCAAGTTCGCATTGACAAGGACAGAGAAGCCAATCATGCTTTTCAAGCTCGGATCGATCAACACTTTGTGGAAAGTCAGCGTGAAAACCAGACCCAGTTCATGAACCTAGTTGCGCAGATGCAACAACTTCAAGAACTGCTTGTGGGAAATGCTGAGCGTGTTCGCCCAGAGAATTCTACTGCCATTCCTAGGGCACATATGGCGAATTTTTCTTTGCCATTAAAGGCTGTTCGTATGGAAATTCCGACCTTCAATGGGTCAGATCCACATGGGTGGATTTTTAAATCAGAGCTGTATTTCGGTTTACAGCAGATTCCGGAGGAGTACAAGGTACGCCTTGCTGGATTGAAGATGGAGGGACCAGCTTCCCCTTGGTATCAATGGCTTTTCAAGGGTGGATCGATTGGGACATGGCAGGATCTTAAGAATGCAGTTTGTCATCGTTTTGGGGGTTCTGCCTACTCAGATCTTAGGGGCGTCCTTTCCAAATTGACGCAAACAGGTACCTTAGCGGATTATATGCAACAGTTTGAATCCCTGATTAATCAAATTGATGATTTTTCGGATGAAGTTTTGATGACATTTTTTGTTTCGGGTTTATCCTTGGAACTGAGGAGAGCAATCCAACTTCACAAACCTATTTCCCTGAACCAAGCAATGCAATTGGCCCTGGTTTATGAAGCACATTTCGCTGACCTTCGTTCTTCCTTTCCCTCAAACCCAAGCTTTCCTAAGAAAATTTTTCAGAAGTCCACTTTTGCTTCTGATAGTAACCACACCAATTTCCACCTATCCTTACCTCCCACGTCTAACCAATCCTTCTATGTTCTAGCCTTACCATCCACTACCAACCAAACTAGTCTACAATGAATATTACAGCTTCCTACATATGGGCCGAATAGTCCATAGCCCAACTGGGTGCTCCTTTGATCCTTCTTGGTCTCTGTACTGTAACACGATTCCACTTATCCAATCACTTTTCTATGAACCTACAGCAGCAACCACCGCCACTAACACCACATCTTCCTTTTCCTTTGGAGGCATTTTTCACAATTATCGTAATTTCCAATATTTAAAAAATACAAGTTCACTTCAAGATCCATTTTTTATTTCTTCGACAGAATTTTGAACGCTTTCTTCTTTGTGCAATTTTTCTGATTTGTGCAGGAAAGAGCAACACAACTGATAGTACCATTTTTTATTGTTGTTGTGGGGTTTATTTTTATCTGTATCTATTTAAGAGTAAGGAGACCAAGGAAGAAGTATAAAAGTAAGTCCAAGTATTGACACTTTCGTCGCCATCGAAATCCTGAAAGGAGCCAAGTGTTGAGGAAGGTGGTGGAAGATGAATTATGGAAGAGTGGCGAGAGAGAATAAACAAGATACTAAAACAAAGCAAATTAGATTATTTTTTAATATTTAATCCAAAACAGTGTAGCTTGGGGTGACGAGATAATTTTATCCAAAAGAAGAAATATTATTCTGTTTTAATCGAGGACTATTATACTTATTATCATGGTAGGTTTACCTTCTATTTTGGTTGTCATTGATCTAACTATAGCTAAACAGATATTAAGAGTGATAAACCTAAAATAATAGTAAGTATAATTTTTTTCATTTTAATTTTCAAAAAAAGGTAAGTATATTTGAGATTATTTGTTTAACACAAATTATGATTGTTAAAATTAAGTGACTAAAAGGTTGTTGTTTATAATTTATAAAAATCTTAATAAGTAGTGATTGACATATTTAAAGCTTGTTTAGATATTTCTTGTTTTAAGATAAAAAAAAATGTGGCTTTTTAACAGGGTGAGAATCATTTTATACCATGTAAGTTACATACTCAATATTGATTGTTAATTCTATTTATATATAATGTTCTGATTTATTAGATATTTGAACCGTTAAATGTAAGTAAATCAATGATCCAGATTTGGTGTAAGAATATCGTGCCCCTTTTTTAAAAAAAAATTCTTATATATATATATATATATAGGGGTTAACATTTCTGCAAGCTGCAGCTATTGTACGTGCAGCAATCAAATACTTGCCATATATATACTTGAAAGCATTAAATGCAGGGAATCCTAAACATACAAAGGATGAAAGCATTAAATGTGAGAAATTATAACCATACACCTGTCGTTAGGGGTGCTAAACGAGCCAGGGGCCTTACAGGGGCCTTTGACTCGGCTCGTGAATGCCTGAGCTTACATGTCTAAAATTGATTGTTGGACCCAGGCTTGGACTTGTATAAAAGCTCGTTTAATAAAAAGGCCTAAGGTTCCAATTCAAAGGCTCGGCCTTAGAGCCTCTCAGGCTTGCTTAATATATTTTTTTTATTTTTTATTTATTTTTTTCGTACTACTTGTGATAACCTTCTCTCTCTCCTCAATCCATTTCATTCCATTTTATTAATTAAACAGACTTTTTGAATGATTTTATTTTATATTATGTTATTTGGATATACATTAAATTTATGAATATTTATGAAATTATTAGTGCTGTTGATAGTATATTTTGTTTGAATAAATTTTTGTTGTCTTATTTTTTTTTAAACAGGCTTAACAGGCTAAAGCAAGCTTTCATTTTTTGTAAATAAGATAGGCCACAGGCTGAAATTATATTCGTGACAGGTAACAGGCTTGGTCAGGCTGACAGATAAATACAGGCTTAGCATTTTAAGACCAAAGCTCAGCTCGGCTCGGCCCGTTAACACCCCTACCTGTCGTTACTGTACGTAAAGCGGCTGCAGAAATGATTTTACCATATATATATATATATATATATATATTTCAAACTATGCTTGGATGATATTTTTTCAAAAAAGAAAGAAATTGACAAAAATAGTTTTAAATTCTATTTTAAAATAATTTTTAAATTTTTAAAAATTATAACTTTTTATGTACCAAAAAAAAAATTATAACTTTTTTTTAGTTTTTACATTTGACTTTTAACTTTCAAAACAAAAGAACAAAAAAAAACATTTGTTACATTAACTATTTTACAAAATAATTTTTTAAAAAATAATAGAAGTCAGGCTAGGATCTCAAGTTTGAGAATACTACCTTCATTAGCTATCTTCAAAAACCGGCACTGTTTTTTTTTTTTTTATAAATTGATTTTGTGAAATGCTTAAAAAATATTACTAATGGGATTTGAATCTAAACCATTGTAGACATTACACTCACCACTAAACCAACTCTATTTATTAGAAATAATTCTTTTAATTTTATATTTATTATATATATTTAATTCAAACAATTGAACCAATGAAATTAGTTGAATCATTAACTCGTTGACCCGGTACAGCAAGATAATCGACGACATGTTCAAGTTTGATAACACTGTAATAGGTTCACCTCATCTTAGATAATAATGGTAGATCATTTGTTGTATGTCGTGTTTTTCCAAACATATATTGATACGATTTAATGTTTGTATATTCAACGTAGATAAATTATTTATATTTGCTCTTAAAATAATGTCGTTTTATATTAAAAAATTATAATGAAAAATATTATTATATCTTAAAATAAATTATAATTATAAAAAATATTTTACTTTCTGCCTCAAAATAATATTATTTTGGACTCAATATAAATAACTTATTTATATTAATTAATAAAATGAACCCATATTCATATTCAATTTTCAAAAATAGAGAAAAATACAAAAACTAAAAATGTATCTCTACTTATTGGGCCTGTCAATCTTGGAGAATGAATGGGTATTGGATCATGGCTAAGCAACCATTTCATAAAACCAGTCCTGTGCGACCGTGAAGCAACGTGACATTGTTTCTTCTTCAGTGCTGCGTTTCAGAGAAACACAGAGGGTAAAACCCTAACTCATTTTCCTTCTGTTAGCTACAATCCACGGCCTCAATTTTTCTACGTGGTAAGCCTCTCCCTATCAATTTTAATTTTTTGTTCTTGCTTTCTTAATCTTCCTTTAGCACCTCAAAACCAACAAATGATTGATTAAATCGGTAATTTGGGTAATGTAATTGATTGTTAATTGATGGCAGCATATTACAATTGGTGAATTTATCGTATTGCTGGTCATTCTGTGTTGGAGCCTAGGTTTAACTGAGATGGGAATTTTTCTAGGTTTTGCTTTATGTTTTTTTTTTTTTTAATTTATAGTGTAATTTTTCCCTTGAAAGAACTGAACTCGTTTTCCAAACTTGCAAATTTGATCACATGCCCAAATTTTTCTTTACCTCTCTCTCTCTTTTATTTTTGCTTTTGGGTAAATGAAAGTTCCATTAAAATTATGTGCACCTGGGGAATTTTAAAAGAATAGTGTAGCGGGTGGCTAGCAAATTTCATCCAAGAAAACCTGGAATTGTTTATCTTCTTGCTTCTTCAAGTCTTGATATTTCAAATTCTCTATTGCACTGGAAAAATGAGGCCTCTTTTGTTCGCTAAGTGGTGATTGTACAGAATGATATTACATTCGATGGACTAGATCTAAGTAACCCTGTCTAATTTGATTCTGTCAATGTATTTTTTGAACATGCTGTTTTGAGTAGATGTAAAGACTTGAGTGTTACGGTAGATTGTTCATGTGCAGGGTGATGCACATTTGATGCTTCAGAGTTTTGGTTGAAGTTTCACTACAATACTTTGCTGTCATGGTATGTTCAATATCTGATCTCTTAATTATATTCTGTTCAATATTCTGTTTATTTTATATTCTGTCATGGTTGAAGTTTCCGTCGATTTAATTTTCTTTAGATTTAGGAATTTTGTCATCCTGCTCTTTGTGGCTGGTAGAAAGATTTCTCAATGTCTATTACTATAAATACTTGTTTCAAGGGATAATAGAATCAGAGAGAAAGTGAGAAAAATTGAAAGAAATGAGAGAGAACAGAGAATTTGAACTGCATATTTATGATGATACTGAAAAACTGATCTCTCTGTAAACCAGAGAGGGATATTTACAGGACTACAAGACTTGTTATAGAAACAGAATAATAGAAGATAACTGAAGCTAACAGCCTTACAATATATCTGACAGCATTTGCAACTAAGCAACAGAATGCCAACCCATCCTAACCGACTAACAGTCACATAACAGCTGGAGTAATTAATGTTACTCTGAGCACAGCAGCACTAGTGCTGCTGATACACTGACTGATGCACTAATACAAAGCTACAGCTAAGATCTGTGAGTACAGGCTTTGCACTCCTTTGCAGAACTACTGTAGTAACTGCTACTGTTACTCTAATATACCTCCACAAACTCAAGGTCGATGGAGCATCTTAAGGTAATCCAAGACTTTTGAGTTTATGACGTAGTTCACAAAAACAAGTAGTAGACAAGGGCTTGTTGAATGTATAAGCTATTTGCAGCTATGCTGGAACATGCTGGACCAGCAAATTCTTGGCTGAACCTTCTCTCGAACAAAGAATAAATCTAGTTCCATGTGCTTGGTGCAAGAGTGAAGAACAGGATTGTGAGCAAGAGAGAGACTGTACTGACATTGTCGTATTAAATCACAGGGGTCTTGACTGTAACCTTTAGATCCTGCATAAGGGTCTGAACCCAGAGAATTTCTACACCTGTGTTGGCAAGGCTTCTGTACTCTGCCTCAATTCTTGACCTAACCACCAGAGTTTGCTTCTTGGACCACCAAGAAATTAGGTTGGGCCCAAGAAGTAAGAAAGCACCCTAGGTAGACCTCCTATCATTTGGGTCCTTTGCCCAATCTGTATCACGGAAAGCAGCTTTCCAAGGAGAGAGAGTGCCTTTGAGATATCTAAGAATATGTTTGACCTCTTGCAAGTTCTCCTCAAGGAGCTGGGATAAAAATTGAGACACCTTGTTGACACAGAAAGAAATCTCTGGCCGAGTGAGTGTTGCATACTGCAATACTCCAACAATGGACTTATAAAGATGAGGATCCGAGACATGATACTCAGCCTCTTTACACAGTTTACAGCTCCCAGGCATAGGGGTAGAAATGCTCATAGCCTCTGGCATTCCAGCTCTGCACAAAAGATCTCTTAATGTATTTAGATTGAGACAGAAAATTGGAGCCACCAAGGTGGTGCTGTGCTTCAATACCAAGAAAGTAATCCAAAGTGCCAAGCATCATGTGTATGAGGGTGCACTAGAGGGCTGAACCGTTTAGTGGATGTTAGAGAGAGCCCGCAAGAGATACTAGTTGATCTGGCTGAGGACATATTTAGACACGGAGGGTCATGGCGAGTCTGGTGTGACTTTGTCCCAGACTATAGCAGCAACAGATGGTCGACAACCATGAATAGTGGCAGCTGAGGTCTTGTAGAGTTTTGTGAAGCCCGCAAAATGAGGTTTTTAAGCACAATGAAGGTGTGACCGGGAGGTCAAGAAACGACTGCAATGAAGGCAGTTGCTGCAATGTAATGCAGGCAGACTAGGGTTTATTTTGCGGAATCAGAGTCTCGTAGATGGGGAGGAGGGGTGTTAACGGGCCGAGCCGAGTGGGACTTTGGTCTTAAAAGGTTAAACTTGTGTTTTAATAGGTCAGTCTGGCCTAGCTTGTTATCTGTTATGAATATATTTATCGGCTTGGACTTATTTATAAAAAATAAAAGTCTGGTTTAGCCTGTTAAGAAAAAATAAGATAACAAAAATTTATCTAAACAAAATATATGATCAACAACACTAGTAATTCTACAAAGATTCATAAATTCAATGTATTCAGACAGTATAATATAGAACAAAATCATTCAAAAAGTCTGTTTAACCAATAAAATGGGGTGAAATGAGCTGAGGGGAGAAAAGGGGGGGGGGGGGGGGGGCTATTATGAATAGTATAAAAAATATAAAATAGAAATAAAAGTTAGTATACTAGGCTATTATGAGGAGAGAAGGGCCGGCTTGGCTCAGCGGTAAGCTTGCTTGCCGTGGTGTGTCAGGTCGCGGGTTCGAATCAGCCTCTCTGCAAAAAGCAGGGGAAAGACTGCCTAGAGTATTCCCTTCCCCAGACACTCACGAAGTGGGTATTTGAACTGGGTCGGCCCTTTATACTAGGCTAGCCTGAGAGACTCTGAGGCCGGGCTTTTGAATTAGAGCCTGAGGCCTTTTTATTAAACGAGCTTTTATACAAGTCCAAGCCTAGTTCCAACAACCAATTTTATACATGTAAGTTCAGGTCTTCACGAGGCGGGGCAAAGGCCCCTGAAAGGCCTCTGGTTCATTTAGCACCCCTAATCGAGAGGTTTGATACCGACTTGAATGAAGAAATATGGAACTGCTGAATATTATTTTTCTTAAGTAATACTATACATGGGTTTGGTCTATTATGATGACCCGACTAAATAATTACTTGTCTAAAATAATGACTAATCTATGGAAACGGAATATTACAATGATATACGATGAGTATTATGCAGTAAGGAATAGTAAAAGATGTGGGACTGGGTTCTGTGCTATTCTTGATTTGTCAATATGATTTTCCTTGTCCAAGCATCATGTGTATGCATGTCAAAGAGGAATTTCAATCAGATGTATGTATATAGATAAAAGTAGAAATTCTATCCACCAAAAAAAAAGAAAAGAAATTCTATTAGACTGAAAAATGTAATTACAAAAAGGATATTACTTTGTGGTTAAATTCAAATTTTGAAATTCTTAGAATTTACTTAGTATGATAGTACCTAGAATTGGTGTGCGGATTTTGATATTTGACATGTTGTATTCTGGTGCTTATTTTATGTATGGCTGAATGCAGGATCCTAATGGTTCTGTGGATGATAAGTGTGAGAGTAGACTTTATATCGGTAACCTTGATCTCAGAATTACAGAGTGAGATTTGCTAACTGCCCCCAGTGGGGCTTATTTGTTTTTTCCTATGCTTCATGCACGTTCTAATTCTCTCCTTTTCTTTTCAATATTTTCCAGAGCTGTTCTGCTGAAAATGTTTTCTCCCTTTGGAAAGATTGTTTCTGAGGACTTCTTGTGGCACACTCGTGGCCCAAAACGTGGGGAACCACGTGGTTTTGCTTTTGTACAGTATAGCACAAAAGAGGTAAGTTGATTGCACACTTTAGTTGCTAGGCTTCAAGCAATTTCTGATTTCCATTATTAAAGTGAGAATGCAGGAAGCTGAATTGGCCAAGGAGAAAATGCATGGAAGGTTAGCTTGTGGCCGGCCATTGGTTGTTCGTCTTGCCGGTGAGAAGTACATGTTGGAAACAGCTGATAAGTCTACAAAAGCTGCACGTGAAGGGCACAAGATGCATCTTAGTGGTGGTGCCATGGGACAGTCAAGTCGTAGTGCAAAAATAGCTGCAATAAAGAATAAGTTGAAATCCTTAGAAGAGGAGAGCTCTAGGACCAAGAAGCAGAAGCAAAATGATGATGTTTCTTAAGAGTCAAATGTGTAAGTATAATCTGTAGAATCAGGGGAAATTTTAGGGACGTATAAATTGAATGTGGTGCAATTGTTTGTAACCCCATTAACTTGGAATGTCATATATTTGAATCAGCTTGGGTTTGTTAACTGTTACTGCATGAAACATACTATCCATTTGAAAATCTACGAATCGAAATTTGACAGGATATTTATTGAAAAAGGTTTTCAGTATATTGATATTGAAATAATTACATGAGGAATGATGAGTATTTATACAAGAAAAAATAGCTAAGCATGACTCAGCTATGACTCACCAAACCTAATCACAATCATAAGAATGACTCAGCTATGACTCACTAAACCTAATCACAATTAATTCTAATTAATTACAATTAATCCTAACTAATAGGAAATAAAAAACAATCAATCCTAATTAATCTTAATTATTCCTAATAAATAAAAACAAAAAAATATTTGAATTTGAATTCTGATTTTCTACACTCCCCCTCTAGTTGGGAGGTAAATGTTGATCATTCTCAACTTGCCAATCAAGTCTTCAAAGGCTGGCCGGTGTAGACCCTTAGTGAGAATATCTGCAATCTGCTCTTTGGTAGGAATATACACCATACATACACTTCCATCATCTATTTTTTCTTTGATAAAGTGGCGATCAACCTCCACATGTTTTGTTCTGTCATAGTGAACTGGATTTTGAGCAATACTGACAGCAGCCTTATTATCACAATACACTCTGACAGGTGGGGAAAAAGAGATCTTCAATTCCTCAAGGAGTCTTCTTAACCAAATTCCTTCACAAATACCATGGGCTAGAGCCCGAAATTCTGCTTTTGCACTGCTCCGGGCAACAACTGTTTGTTTCTTACTTCTCCAGGTCACAAGATTTCCCCAAATATAGGTGCAATATCCTGAAGTGGATCTTCGGTCCAATGCAGAGCCAGCCCAATCTGCATCTGTATATATTTCAATCATCCTCTTGTGTCCCCTTTTAGAGAACAATCCTCGACTAGGGGTGTTTTTGAGGTACTTCAGAATTCTATAAACTGCACTCAGGTGTTTTTCCTTAGGAGAATGCATGAATTGACTAACCATGCTAACTGCAAATGCAATATCAGGCCGAGTGTGAGATAAGTAGATCAACTTCCCCACCAATCTCTGATACTGCTCTTTGTCAACTTATTTCCCATCTTCGATTCCCAATTTAATATTGGGTTCAACTGGAGTCTCTGCTGGCTTACACCCAAGCATTCCTGTTTCTTGTAACAGGTCTAGAATATATTTCTTCTGAGTTAAAGAAATTCATGCCTTATTTCGAGCAACTTCCATGCTTAGGAAATATTTGAGAGATCCAAGATCCTTCAGTTCAAACTGATTAGCTAAACATTTCTTCAAAGAGCTTATCTCCTCACAATCATTACCTGTGACAATTATGTCATCAACATAAACAATGAGAATAGCAATTTTACCACCATTAGAGTGTTTTAAAAATAAAGTGTGATCAGTCTGAGCTTGGAGGAATCCTCTTCCCTTAACAGCTTGAGTAAACTTCTCAAACCACTCTCTAGGAGATTGTTTAAGACCATACAGAGACTTTTTCAACTTGCATACTGAATCGTCTCCTTTTTCAAAACCAGGTGGTGGATCCATATAAACTTCTTCATGTAGATCACCATTCAAGAAAGCATTCTTTACATCTAATTGTTGCAAGGGCCAACCAAGATTTGCAGCAAGTGATAAAAGAACTCGGATAGTATTAAGCTTGGCAATAGGGGCAAATGTCTCTTAATAGTCTATCCCATGAGTTTGAGTGAATCCCTTAGCAACCAGTCTGGCCTTATACTTGTTGATGCTATTATCTGCATTAAACTTTATTGTGAACACCCACTTGCAACCTATTGTTTTCTTTCCTCTGGGTAATGCTACAGACTCCCAAGTTCCATTTTTGTTGAGTGCATCCATTTCTTCAAAGACTGCATTCCTCCATTTTGGATCATCAAGTGCTTCTTGGATATTTTTTGGTATTTTTGTACTGTCTAACATAGTGTTGAAAGCACGAAAACCTGGGGACAACTTTTCATATGTGATATGATGAGAAATAGGATGAGCAGTACAAGATCTAGTACCTTTTCGGAGAGCAATAGGCACATCTAGATTGGCTGTATCAGTGTTGCTGGAACTAAGACTCGAGTCAGAATCCTGGCAGTCTAGAGGCTCCTGAGGTGATTCTCGCCTGCTGTAAAACTTTCCCCATTTCCCGGGAGGATCTCCATTATCTGACATATTAACTCCCCCTGTCTTTTGCATAATGACTCCCCTTGTCTCCAACGGCAAAGGCAAAACAACAGAATCATTTGGTTTCCAAGACTTATCTTCATCAACCCCAATAGACTCCCCCTGAAGAGAAGTCGAAGGAAAAAAAGATTGTCTCTCATCAAATGTGACATCCATAGTCTTTTGCATAATGACTCCCCCTGTCTCCAACGGCAAAGGCAAAACAACAGAATCATTTGGTTTCCAAGACTTATCTTCATCAACCCCAATAGACTCCCCCTGAAGAGAAGTTGAAGGAAAAAAAGATTGTCTCTCATCAAATGTGACATCCATAGAAACAAAGACCTTACGAAGTGAAGATGAGTAACACTTGTAACCCTTTTGGTTAGGAGGATATCCTATGAAGACACATTTAATGGACTT